CCTATACTTCCTCGGTCCTTATGTCATCCGTAGGTTACTACGGATGACATAAGGACCTTATCTCAGTGCCCTTGATACTGAGATAAGACCGCCGCCGAATATGGATTACGGATATTGCGTTCTGTTCGTTTTACGACGCTGACCTGAACTGGTTTTCGCTGTGTACGAGTGTTTTCTTTACTTTACGTGGATTGTGGAACAATAATTCATACGGCAATTACCTACTTACTAATTTTTGTGGTTAATTCACCTGTCTGTGCCGGTACCCGCGTGCGGAACTCTATTCTCAATCATTAATAACATAGAAATATATATAAATATCAATATACATAGATATATGCCTATTATTATTATTAGAGCGTAATATAACTATAGCTCTATTTATTTTCCTTTTAAACTTGTGTGTGGTATTCACTCGTATACCGGGAGACGTGATATCAGTGTTCAACCGTACACCATATTGGATTACGCGTTAATATATTTATCAAGAAGTTATGCACTATATTTCTTTAAACAGTTGATTTATCTATTTATTATTAAGTACAAGAAAAAAACCCAGATTATACTTATTTGGCTCCCTGGGGTCAGATTTTATATTCGGCCTCAAGCAATATTTTTATCAAATATTTCATTGTTAAAAGTGAAATATTTTTACTTTTAACAAGTAAAAATATATTTTGATTATTCAAAAAATAATCAAAATGAAATAAAACATTTTGATTTATTCATAGTTTAAAGATCGTTGATTATTTTTTGAATATGCAATTATTGTGAGGTCCTCAAAAAACTTCAAAATTTTGAAGCCCCGGAATCATGGCTCCTCCTTAATCCGGGCCTGACAAGAAAAATAATATTTAGATTTAATTAAATAATAAATTATTACTAATATATGTAAATTATTTTATTGTGTATTGACTTATTGCTGTTATTAAGTGAGTCATTATTTATTAAAATACATTAACTGCCTTTTTAATTTACGCTGCAAATATTATATGTGTATATACTTCAGTTGTATTCACTAAATTTAAAAATAAATATTACCAATTAAAATTACTAACTAATATGTACATTCATTTTATCTATAAAAAGTATTTCATAAGTCTTATTAATATTCTATAGATATTATTTTTTATAATTATTTAAAACGAGTTAAAAAAAACAAAACAAGTAAATTTAAAACTTAATGACCTTACAAGCTTATATTCTGGCGTATAGTGTCAAAAATCGAATGGGTTCTTCTTTTATGACCTCTTTAAAGTGGACATTAAAAAAATAATATCAAATTTGAATTTTTTTTACTTTAAAAACACTTATTATAAACATTTTGTTTTTTAATACTCAAAATTTCAGACGATAAGTTGGATACGTGTCTGTGTTGTACATACTTAAAGATCTGTGACGACGTTAATTTTTTCTAAACGATATCGGAATTTTTACATTACAACTCAAATTTTATAGAAATTTGCCGCAATATGGCGGTGCTGAATGCCAAATTCAACTGGAAAAGTGTAATATTTTCAAAAGTTGAAAAGATTTAATTTTAGTTCGTAGATTAAAAATCAGATTATGCCATATTTTTATGGTGTGCTAAGATTATTTTTGCAAGAGGCGCTCGTAGATATAAAGTCGTTATTGCGCCCGGGAACTAATATTTTTACGCTTATTCTAATATATTAGTTATGTAGTATTCTGTAATTGTCATGAGGCGATAAGGCCTATCGATAAACGTTGCTTCGTTGAGTTAGATAAGTTTTATTCGAAGTGATTAATTTATGTTTTAATTGTTTCCGTGATATTGTATGCAACTTAAATATTTTTGCGAGTTTTGAATTTATCCAGTTTGTTCGAGGTTATAAAGTCCATGCGGCTAAGGAGTCAGTCGGTTTTACCAGCAAGTGACGTCAGAGACGCAATGTCAGGCGGCAGCACATCCCCCTCATTATAGAACCGGAAGGTGACACGAACTTTAACGCTCATAACAGCGCAGCTGATCTGCGTGATATAGTGGCTACACTGGTCACTCAAAATAATCTTCTAATGCAGCAGTTACTATCGAAGAATAATCAAAACTCAGTTTACAATGCAGCACCACCCGTTCCTCCATCTCAAGGATATTTCATCATATTCAATAACAGTATCAGTAACTTTACAGGCCGCGAGTCAACTAGGGACGCTCAGCTTTGGCTTCAATCAGTTGAAAGTGTGGCTAAATTATATTGCTGGCCCGATAACTTTAAACTCGAACTTGTGCGGCTAAAGTTAATTGGCCCATCCAAATATTGGTACACTTAGCGCCAGTTTGCCGATTGGAATAGTTTTATTGAACAGTTTACCAGAACGTTTGTTGGATGCCGACTCGATACAGTCCATCGAGTTCGTCTCATGTCTAATCGATTACAATTAAAGAATGATTGCGTTTTTGAATATTTTCATCACAAAATGCAACTTTGCCGTGACATTAACCTTACGTTTGATGAAAGTAAACGACAGATAGTGGAAGGTTTGTTTTCAAGGGATTTATGTCACTATTTGCTTGCTCGTGATCATAAAAACGAAAATGAACTTTTAACTGACATAAAAAACAATGAAAAAATTGATAATGCTCGTCAAGACCGTTTCCGAGCCGAAGGATCAATTAAGAGTCGTTACTCGCAAGTTACCAGCCCACATAGATTTAGAGTATCTTTTAATCGAGAGCTCCCTGCTATTGAGCCTAGACCATCCAGTCCACCACTTCAATCTAGTCAGTCTACACCGAGGATATCCAGTCGTCCAAGTAATCAGAACGCCAATGTTAGATGTTTCAATTGTGGATCCATTGGCCACTATTCAAGTTCATGTCCAGCTCGTCGAGATGAACGTCGTCCATGTTACCATTGTCAGTACAGAGAGCATCAGTCACGTCAGTGTCTCAGAAGTCAACGGTCCAATGATTCCCGCGGTGAGAATGTATCAATTTTAGAACATAAATATAGCTGTTTTATACCCCCCTTTATGTTAGATATCCGTATAAAATATCCCAATGGCAATATTTCTAATGTTACTGCTCTTATTGATACTGATAGTCCAGTGAGTCTTTTAAAATCTAGTATTGTTCCGTATTTCTCAGGTATTACTCCCTCTAAGTGTAGTTTGGTTGGTATAAATGGGTCACCACTATGTATAGTAGATAAGTTCATGGCTGAAATTTTAAATGACGAATTAAATGTTCCTATCAGTTTACGGTTCCGCGTAGTGCCCGACCGGACGATTAAAAATGATTGTTTACTTGGACGAAATTTTTTGGCTCATAACCGTGTCGATGTACGTATTATTGATGGGCAGTTCACTATCTCGTTTAATACCACTAATGAAAACCGCTTTGACGAAATATTATCGTTAGAATATCATAATGACGATAATAATGGTAATGATATTAATATCACCGTAGAGCCTACATTGCTATTAAACATGCGACAAAAGATTATCGATGTATATACCCGCAGTTATTTAACTGTAGATAACGCGACCAATCTAACTACTGAATTAGAAAATCCGCCGCTGTTGCATATTAAATTAAAAACTGAGGTTCCAATTTACTTCCGTCCAAGGCGTCTCTCTTTTTTTGAAAAACAACAGTTACAATTAATAATCGATGATTTGTTAAGTCGAACTGTTGAGCTTATTAAGCAAACGTATTGGTTTCCGAAAATGACTGAGTATGTCAAGTCGTATATCGGCAATTGTTTAAAATGCATCATATTCTCACCAAAGGAGGGGAAAGGTGAGGGATTATTAAATATTATTAATAAAGGTGATAAGCCATTTCACACCATTCACGTTGACTATTACGCTCCATTGAGTCAGACTAAAGGACGGTTTAAATATGTTTTCGCTATTGTTGACGCTTTCAGTTAATTTTTTACTTTATACCCTGTACGAACAGTTGCGTCCAAAGAAACGTGTTCGAAGTTGGACCAATATTTTTCATATTATAGTAAACCTATACGAATTATTTCAGACAGGGGATCCTGTTTTAGATCCGATGTTTTTAAAGAGTTCTGTTTACAACGCAATATTAACCATGTAATGACAACCGTGCAATCGCCTTCGTCTAATGGACAAGTCGAACGTTACAACAGAAGTCCAACGGTCATGTTATCAAAATTAGTGTATGAACACGGTAACAATTGGAACGAACAATTAAATAAAATTCAATTTGCCGTTAATAATACTATCAATCGATCTATTAGAAATACACCTAGCAAGATAATGTTTGGCATGGAGCAGACCGGAGAGATTAACGATTATGTACCATTGTATTTAGAAACATTATCGGATAATAATGGAGAACGTGATTTCGACATTATTAGTAATAATGCACAGCAAAATATTGAAGAAGGACAACATCGTAATAAAATATACTATGATGTCAAAAAGCGAAAAGCAATTAAGTATAACGTAGGTGATTTGGTGATGATAAGGAACATTTATACAACTCCTAATGTGTGTAAAAAACGTATTCCCAAATTTAAAGGACCCTATAAAATCCATAAAGTAATTCCTAATGATAGATATGTCGTAGTTGACATTGAAGGGTTTCACCCAGTGTACAATATCAAGTTTATTATGCGTTTAATCAACATCAACAATTCCACCATAGACGGTCTATTTAAGAGCTGCCAATGGTTTACTATGGAGCATTATAACTGTTTATTAACCATTGATGCACCTACCATATTTATTTACAGAAATAACGCTTATTTTACTAATATAAGTATTTAAAAACTTATACGTATTTTAAACGTTGAATATAGTTAACTTATCAACACATAATATTCATTTAATCTACTAGTATATAAGTAGATTAAATGAATATTAAATATATTTTGTACTTTCTTTCTACTTCAATTATATATATTTTTTATCACTACATAATCTGAATAAAACAGTATGTAATGTACTTAAAATAAACATAAATTAGTCAATCAAAATAAAACCAAATAAATTACACTCGAAAATAATGTTCTTGAATTTTTTTTATTAATAAATAATATTAACAAATTAATGATACATAAATATTCCCTAATAATAATAATAATTTATATATCAAATTATAAGGTTTTTTTTTTAATTTTTTCTGTTGCTGTCTTGTCTGAGCCACTGACCTAAGTATGTCTCATATTCTGTTTCTGTGATATTTTGTAAAATATAAACAACATCTGAGAAATTAATTAATTAAATTTATAATTATTATTATTAGTAGTAAGAATATAACACAGGTAGCTGATAAGGCTATAACCCTCCCCACCATTGACCATAGTACACATAATATTTATAATAAACAGAGTAACACTAAGGCTTTAGGTTATGAAAAAAAAAATGTGAGGCCCTAGAAATTTAGCTTTCGATTAAATAAAAATTTGTAAACTACCGAAAACTAAAAAAAAATTTATACTTTATTACATTGGTAAAAGCATACATTTCCAGTATTGACTTGTGAAATAACTGTAAAAATAATAGAATTATTAACAATAATTAACATCAAAGCAAACTGTGCTACTTTTTCTAGGGTAAATTTAGAGCAATCTTTCTAGTAACACATTCAAAGAGAAAATTAGTTTGTAGCTATTGCCATATTTTTATTTTCAAACTATAAGAATAATGTAAAAAGTATAAAATATTTTTAAAAAGTGAAAATCATTTATTAATAACAGTTATAAGAACTTCAAAGGGCAGTGTATTTTAATTGATTATACAATTGTCCAAAAATTAAACTTCAAAAAAATTAAATTCAATGATAGTTTTATTTTAATAGTAAACCAGATTTTAATTTAGAAGGTAGATTAAACATTAAGAACATTATTTAGAAAAATCATTATTTTTACTTAAGTTTTAATAATTGAAATTGAACAAGCATCATACCAAAATTTAAGTAAAATTGAACAATATAAGTAAAATATTATAATAAATTACCTATAATGAAATTATCTTGATTATTGGAACAGTCTTTCAATGCTATTAAATCTAAATTCAGATGCAAATTTTTTTCATTATCAACTAAAATAAATAAAAGGTTCTAAATGAAAAAATTATAAGTTTTATATTTAATTTGAAGTAATATTATCCACAACTTACAAGATTCTTATGTTGGCATATCTGGCATTGAAAATGCATTTGTATTTTTTATCTTTTTAAAAACCTGTTCATCATCAGAACTTAATTAACATTTATTGGGAACTATTAAACGTTTATTAAGTTTTATGTGAGACTTATCTGAGGTGTAGTTGCTCAATGCTGTATTACCTTCTTCAAATGTTTCTTTAAAAAAAATACAGAAAAAAATTTATAATACTGTTACGTCGCTATTTAGGGGTTTAACCTAAATGCCCGTCGACAGTATTCTAAGGGACCAACGGGGGATAGCTGGCTAGGCTATATCTACCTTAGGTACTGAAGTTTCCTATTTAATTTATATTCCCTTAGAGGAACTACCAAGGGTCGCACTACAATATATATATATATAACACTTTAGGTTAACAACGATATAAATAAATATTAACAATTGAAATATTAAATGGATAATACAACCTGCTGGACACCTAGAGATGATTAATCCAACAGGGAGCTGACGGCGACACACACACACACTATAATATACGGGATAGCGAAGTTAAGTTAATTATCATGCAAAAGTAGTGATCGCGAAGATGGTAAAATGTCAACTGTCGATAGGGATATCTTAATATGGCACATTGGCCGTGAATTGCAAAAAGTGTTTATGTGTGCAGTCCGCCCTCCTGTTAGTATTGTTGTATGTCACTGTGTTAATTATATATATATGTCTATTAAACGGTACAACGATGTTATGGGAGACAGAGATATGGGCACATGCAAATGTGATCGTATCAATACTATTCTACAACATACAATTATTTTATATAAGTATATCACACATAAATGCAAATCCTTGTATCACCAAAAGCAATAGAAAAAAAAGAAAATGATGTTTCAAACATTTGGTATAATTTACAGGCCATTTTTAATATCATATAATGTACATTCCTTACTTCATCTTCCCAATGATGTACTAAAATATGGTAACATCAATTACTTCAATGCTTTATGGTATGAAAACTATTTAAGCAGATTAAAAAAGTACTTAAAATCTGAACGCTATGCTATAACAGAAATGTATAATAGAATTACAGAAGACAGATCAGCACGTGATGAAAAATTTTTACTTACCTCAAAAGATTTTCCCACTTATAGAGAAAAACATAATAATGGACCTTTACTACATATAACAGGAATTTATGAACAATTTATGTGTATTCAATTTGAACATTTTAAAATACAAATAAGAAATAAAGAAAAAAGAAGTAAATTTACCCATAGTGATGATTGTATAATAGTGAAAGACCAAAATATTATTAAATTTGTTGTGGAAAATCTTATTAAACAAAATAATTGTATGCATTTTGTAGGACGGAGATTTCTTTTCATTAATGAACTTTTCGGCAAGGCTGATAACATCAATATTTCATCATTCAGTGTTGGGATATATAAATGCAAAAGTTAGGGACAACTAGAAATCTTTACTTTTAATCATGAAAACTGTTTTAATAAATATAGTATCAATTCTACTACACAATGATGTGGAGAGTTTTGTAGTTTTTAAAATATTGCCTACATGAAATACTTAGTAATATGAATAAAACATTATTACCTGTTAATGTAATCCTTAGTTGTAATATAAACTTCAAGACATCATTTGCATTTTTCATATTTATTCCATCATAATTTACAGCATATGAGAAAATGGAATTAAGTTTGAATAACTACTTATGATTAATCTTTAATAGTTTATATTAATTAGTAAATTCTAGTGACGTTTACTATACGTATAAAAAATTAAGCAAAATATTCTAAGTGAATAAAAATGTTGTCGTGATCTAACATTGGCTATGAATTATTATTGATAAACGGTGACGATAAAAGTAATTTGTAATAAACACGACTTTTATACCACGGTAAATTACGCTTAGGTAATAATAGCTAGTTTATAATTTACCTAACTGTTTCACCAATTAGTTGGTTATTAAATATACAAATATTTTTTATATACAAATCAAATTTTATTAGGGTAAATAACGTATTCATTAATAAATATATTACTACTTTCTAATATTAGAAAAAGTAATTTTAAAAATATCAAACATATAAATATACAACGAATCAACGTTGAATTATTGTGTAACAAACAAATAATCTAAACACTTTTTTTTTTTAATATACGCTTGAATAAACGTAAAATAAGCAATTCCCTTCCATCATAATATATACTAACGATTATCTAGCGAAAACATGTTGTTTCATTGTATAATTAACAAATAAAAAAAAGAAAAATTTGCTTTAAAATATACCATGGATTAAACATAAAATCCACTATTTATAACCGTCGTATTAGTTGCATTATACACCATCTAATAATTAGCTGAACGATAATTAATTACTAAATAATACGAAAAAAAAATATAAACCATCTACAGCATTAAAATACACCGTGGATTCAGTGTTTACAAACGTATAATCCACAATGATGCACACTGGGCAGGTCACTCAAATTCCTTTAAATACCATTATTGCCGCTAGGGATATTAAATACTGGATTCAATCCCATTAACATTGAATTTTATTTTAGTTTGTTTATTATTTTAATTATTTGCTCATTATTATTATATAAATATTATTATTGTATTTTATCATTATTTTAATTAATATTATTTAACTGTTAATTTTATTAGGTAATTTATTATGTATTTATTTATTGAATATGTGAATTTATGTGAACTTATTTCTTGTTAATTATATACGCTAAATATTATTGTTCGAGGTCGACCAATCGTCAGGATGGCCGACCTGTATTATTCTGTAATTGTCATGAGGCGTTAAGACGAGTATGAAGTTACCAATTTTTATTCCACCAACTTCTTATCACTTTTATATATTGGTTACCTAAACGGTTACAAATTAATAATATAGTATAGCGCTTTTTCTAACAGCTAGATGTAGCCACAAAAATAAAAATTCATACATTAAAATAATTAAATGGTCTTTATCAACTGACGCCTTATATAAACACACTTACTAACATACACACCGCCGTAACAACTCGGATTATTGCGGGCGACAACCGCATTTCTCCACTTAGAAATTAACACTATATTGTTTGAAATTTAATCAGCTTTTTAATGATATAATCATATTGCCTGGGCTCCTCTCGGATCATCTTTAAAAATCCAAATTACTCTCACCGGGTAGGTATGCGCATACGCGTAGTATCAATACATCGCTCTACCAACTCGGATTATTGTGGGCGACGACAGCATTTCTCCACTTAGAAGTTAACATTATTTTATGTGAAATTTAATCAGCTTTTTAATGATATAATCATATTGCCTGGACTCCTCTCGGATCATCTTTAAAAATCCAAATAACTGACACCAGGTAGGTTCACTTTTTCACATTTTTTTGTGCTATATTAATTAGGAATTAGATTAAATTATTTATTTATTTTTTTTCAAAAATTACACATTTCTCATTCAATAAATCCAACAATATTGACTTACGTAATTTTTTTTAATAAACATATTGCTTTAAGTAGTTTTTAAATATCGATCAAACAAAATTTGTTAAAATAGTTTTTTGATTAAATTCATGATAATTTAAATTTCATTATTTTTTATGTTTTAACAAAGTTAAATGTTTAGATATTAATCCATTGCAATAAATGAACATAATACCACAATAATAAAAAATTATAGTTTTAGGGTGAAGTGAAGATAATGTAAATGTAAATGAATAGGGTATTTGTAAATTCATTTTTTCTCTTAAAATATTTAGCAGATTTAATTTTAGATTGAAAAGTTCTTGTCCTTATGTGTTTATCATATTGAATGTAAGTTTGAAATTAAAAATTCAATCGTTTACAATTATCCCACTTTACCCTTTTGTGTAAAACTGAAATCCCTGTTATTAATGACGAGTGTGAAGCTACCAATTCGTGGTCCACCAACTTCTTATCACTAACAAATATTGGTTACCCTTCGGTTACCAATATTTTATAGAGTATAACGCTTTTTCTAACCGATAGATGTAAACACATAATAACAAAAAGCATATATTACACGCATTTACCAATCATACACACAACAAAGATCTGTCGGCCGGTGGGAGTATATATACAATTACTATCGTATACACCGCCGTAACAACTCGAATAATTGTGAACGACCACTGCATTTAACAACTTAGCATTTGATATTATATTATAGAGTTTTTTATAAGCTTTCAGAATATGTATAGAAAATATCTGGACTCGTCTCGGAACTTTATCAAAATCGCAAATAACTGTGGCCGAGTTGATGCGTTTATACGCTACCGAAAGTCATATTCGCGGTCTTTAATTGCAATATTCAGTTATACCTGCACGTTTCACCCGTTAGCTTTTCACACCACTTAAACCCAACCCAACCCAACCAGTAGTATTTATCAATTTACAATTCAGTAAAGATAATGTATTTTAAAATTAGGTACTTTTTAGTTTCATGTTATGATAGTAGTTACTACCAATATCAAGGTTGTAACAGGTAACGAGAAATCAGGGTTCGATTCCGGGTTTTGTTGTCGGGGGGAACGTTATACCTAAGGTAAAACGGCGTCAGTGGCGGTAGGAATATATAAATATCAGTGTTGGGAAAGTTCCTTTTTAAATGGAACTCGTTCCGTTCCCCGTTCATTTTATAAAATATGAACTCGTTCCAGATCCTAGTTCTTTATATTAAGAAGGAACTTGTTCCAGATCCAGTTCCTCCAAAATAAGAACTCGTTCCACTCTTCGTTCCTTTTATGTAACCAAGTTATTTAAAAAATTGTGGCAATGAGATCATGATAACGGTCATCAATGATTTTCATCAGCAGTCGAATACAAAACAAATTTGTAGTATTCCTTATCTAAAAGTATTCGAAAATTATATTTATAAACAGGTAGTAAATGCTAACGACTTGTGTCAACGCGACCAATGTCTATTGTCTTCATATAAGTTAGAAATAATAAATCAGAAAACCCAAAACCTTTAACATATATTAGTTAACAAGAAACGACGATAATATTCGGTGCATTATTTAATATATGTACACATATATTAAATATTTACTGTATACCTACATGTGATAATAACTCTATAGTCAATTGATTCATTTAAACAGCCTACGATCTCGGCTGGGTATATAGGGGACTTCCATTGTCAAAAGTCAACTAAAAATACCTTGATATTTTAATGTCTAGATACGAAGAAAACTACACTAAAACATGTTTATAAAAATTTTTAGGAACTGTAATTTCCGTTCACGTTCCTTAAAAAATGGAATTTGTTCATTTTCCTCGTTCCTTTATTTTAAAAGGAAGCAGTTCCTAGCTTCGTTCCTTCAAAAAGAACTCGTTCCAGGAATCCGTTCCTTTTGGAACCAGTTCCTTCTCAACACTGATAAATATATATACATAAAGCGCATTAAATGCGGGCGGTATAGGTCAGTCAAAATAAAAATTTGTTTATATATATATATAATCGATGACAGGCACGCGTGTACGGGTACGAAAAGCAAAAATATAAAATTATACAGGATTATTGTTGCCGGTGATTGGTTAGCGGGGTGAGGTGATTGCGTTACGACGTCGTAACGTCAAGGGATACGCAATAATAATAACACGTGCCGCGTGGAAAGTTACAAACACACATCACACATACAAGTGAAACTAATATAAGCGTGTTATAAAAATCAATCGTGCATAAATTATAATTAATGTATAATAATAAAAAATAATAATTATATTTTTATTCTATTAATTAACGGTTAATTTATAAAATACAATTGTCAAATTATTATTGTAAACAGCAAAAATTTGCAGTTATATAAAATAAGAAACATTAATTAATAATACGTTTAGTGTTTGCTTGATAATATATACCGTCGTGCCGTAACTACCCTGCCAAATCACAATATATATTGTAGTATATATTCCGTGCTATTTTTATAATTTTACAACAGCGAGCAACTAATTTACTAAAATAACTACATTAATTGTAGTAGATTGAAAATTAAATTCCCAGAAAGGTTGATATCTAAAAAAAAATCAAAATTTTGCCGGCCGCAGCGCCTCTTCAAGTTGTGGCGCTCCTAGGCTATTAAACATAACAAATAATTTTTTAATTTTCAAAAATACATAGGAGTACAAGGATACTTAGAAGATCAAAAAATGATACTTGACGCGCGATGAAAACGCTGTCAAAACCTAAGTGTTTGAATAAACCAATTGTTCTATTTTTGCCAAACGGCAAAAATCAAACATGAGCGTCGGCCATCATCGGAAACGCGCTCTTTATTGCAGTGTGTAAGCGATTATAGAAATACACAGTATCAATTTAGACTAGTGTCGCTAGCGTTTCCGACGCAGGGTCGAAAAAGCATAGTGTGAAACCGGCTTTATGAGATAAAACTGTACTTATCAATAATGGAATACATATCACAGAGAATGCTTAATATTAGTTATCTAAGAGGGTGTATCTTATGTTAAAAATAAACTAGTGAACAATAGATGAATTTCCGGGAAGAGCGATAA